GTGATAGTGTAGACAATTAGTAGACGGGGAGAGAAAAAAAAATGGCAGTAAGTGCCTATACAAGGAAATTCAGGTGTCCTGCAGTGCTCATAAAGGAACAAGAAAATTGTAAGCAGGCAAACACTTTATTGTAGAGGAGACATACCATGTCTTCTGCAGCAAAACAAACTTAATGGCCTGTTGCAATTTTCCTTCCGATGCATTACAGCTCTGTGTACATTCTGGGCACAGCTCTGCACCGGACTGAATTAACTCCTATGTACAGTCCATTCATACCCCACTGGTCAATCAAGACAGCCGAAGAGCCAGCACTCTGCATCAGTGAGGGAGCAGGAGGGGTGACTTAAGGTGCCCATACACATGCCGATTATCTTACGATAATCGCGGGAAATCCCGCGAACGTACGATAATCGGCAGGTGTATGGGGGGTGTGCGACCGTTTCTACTGTACAAAAAAGTAGAAATGTCACCAGCACACCAATCCTTTTAAGATAGCAAAAGCTTAATTTATTGAAGTCAATGCTAAAGCCTGATTAAAGCGCTTGTTTGGTCATATGACAAAAAACTTCAATAAATGAAGCTTTTGCTATCTTAAAAGGACTGGTGTGCTGGTGACATTTCTACATTTTTGCTGACATTCGCGGCGCCATCCGCGGTCACTGCGAGCACCCCCCACTACAAGGGACATATCGGTAAGGAGTGCAACAAGGGTAGTACTTATCGTTTCTACTGTACAGTCGCACATCTTGTCTCCCGTGCAGGCTTGAAAACCCGCCGAGAATTGTACGATTGTCGGCGGGTTAGTGCCGCTCTCGGGAGACAAATGCCGAACGAGCCGGTGTGCGCAAGCAAGTTCAGCATTGCAGTCATCTGAAGCCCTCCCCTTAGCGGGGCGGGCTTGCGATGATTGCAAGTACGATCTGCCTGTCCAAGAAAGGCAGATCGTACGTGTTTTTTTTTAAATTACCTTACAACCATCGCAAGACAAATGTCTTGCGATGGTTGTAAGGTGTATGGCCAGCTTTAAGCTCTGTTTTAACTCCAGCAAAGGGAAAACCAGGCCTCCTGTCAGACATGACTGTGTCATGTGGCAGAGCAATATCTTAGGCCTGGAAGGACAGAAATACAAGCCCTTTGTCAGGTAAAACAGCTCTTTTATGCATGACATCCATATACAATGGATAAGAGAGACTGCCTTCCTTTTTAGCAAGTTATTTAAAGGAGGACATCAGTCCTATACAGCTACAAAAATCAGAATTTAGTTTGAATGGAAATCCTCAACATTTTAGTTGTATGTAAAATAAGGAAACCGCTGTAAAAATCAAATAAAGTTTTATTACTGTGATAAAAAAAAAAAAAGCATAGTCCAGATATGAAAACAAATACACAAATGCTACACAAGGGTAATTATAAATATACACACATCACATGGAGATACAATATAGCCTTTCCAGTTTATCGTATTCACAATAGCTGCCATAACTGTACAGATTATCTGAAGATAAAATACAATTCTGTCACACCAGAATAAAAAAATAAATAAAATAAGTGTTTCAGCAAGCTAACTGGTCAGCTACTCACCCACATTTAATGTCAAGAGACAGCGGGCTCGTATAATCTGCACTGCCCACAGCGGACTAAAAAAAAATAAAAAAATGGAAGGGCGGAGCCAACTAGTCGCTCCAAACACCATAGAAGTGTCCATATAAGTGCAAATGTATGGAAAGTGTTCCAAGAAAATTTCTTGTTTTCCATGTCAACTAATCAACTTCCAGCCGTCATTTCTGCAATGCTAGCTCGAGAATTAAACATGAATTCTGATCGGTTGCTGTGGGTGCACTTTTCTTACATAGGCCCTTTAGACCAGGGGTAGGCACACTGGCTCTCCAGCTGTGGTGACACTACAAATCCCATCATGCTTTGCATCTGGGTGTCATTCCTGTGGCTGTCAGTCTTGCAATGCCTCCTGGGGCTTGTAGTTCCACCACAGCTGGAGGGTCAGAGTGTGCCTACCCTTGGTATAGACATTTGCATGTATTCATGAAGACCCACCTATTGATCAACCCCTCAAGTCCCCTCATCAGAAAGGAGATTGTAGGAATCTTTACTTGTTCAACCTAAAAGGCCATTTTTTGTCTAAAAAAAAAAAAAAAAAAAAAAAAATACAATTACGACTCTAAAGCTTGACACTGCTGCAATATTCACAGTGAAAGCTGATGGGTCTTCTTAAAATTGCTCTGCTGTTTGAATGCATTACTAAAAGGGGAACCCCCACCCAGTAAAAGGGGAAATGTATGGATTGATAGTACCCAGCAGTCCCATGAGAAAGGTCCTCTACAATTGTTTGCGTTTCAGGCTCTTTTTATAACAAAACAAAACACCAAAACCTGCATGTTTAGTAGTGTATTTAGATGAATTGCTACCATGAACCAGTCTGACTTGGACTGAGGGCATCACACAGGCTGCTGATACGGACCTACTTCTGAAATGCCAATTGCCTGGCTGTCTGACTTCACAATTTTGAGACAGATCAGGATAGTAAAAACTCCCGATTTGGATACTTGCTCTGAGTGAGAGACTTAGCGGGCACTGAAGCCACTGAATCAGAATGACAGCCAGGAGGCCCAGCACAGGCAGCCTTCACATTACCCATTACAGTCACCTAGTGCTGAGTGGACGGAATGGTCTCTATGCCAAAGCATTAGCTGTGTTTATTTTAAAGATAATATATCAGTATATTTTTATTTTCAAACAGAGGTAAAATGTAATTTCAAATGATTCCAAAATACTTTTCAACGAGTGGCCTGTAGAACGCAATTAAGCGGTTTCTGTATGCCAATGTGTAGCCTATTCCAAATGAAACCATTAGTTCTATCATTTAGCGATCAACGGCTACTAAACTCAATGTTGGGAAGATTTTAGTTGTCGTTAAACATCGCCAATGCAGATTACGTCCTAGCTAGCCTAAAGCGGTCTGCTACAAAAACCTTAAAGGGTGATACCACTTCTGGGTTGAGTGACAAGTGTCATTTCACACTTCTTGTGGGTGCAGGGTGTCATTGGTAAACCTCCCTGGGAAGGGAGGGAGTCACCATGACACTTGTCACTCAATACATTGGTGCAGAGACCTGTACTGACATCACATTAACCATGCTCTCTACATCACAGAGAATGCCCCCCAGAGAAGAGGTAAGGAGGTCCCTGTGCATCACGCTACACGCTTAAGGGCATTTGCGAGGCTGGGGTTTGGACTTAACCTGTTGGCAGCACCCTAAAATCAGCATGCGGATAGAGAAATGGGCAACAAAGAGTTGAATCTCTCAGCAGCAAATAGATTTCATCACCTCTGTAGCACTTGCATTAAGGCATTATTCACACCTAGGCATTTTGTAGCAAGAGGAATCCCATTGATTTCCATGGCCCCTGTTCACTCCCGAAAGTTGTTTCCGTCACCAGTGAGCCTCTTTTGGGGCAGAATCACGTTTTTGACTTTGAAATGGGATTGCTTGAGAAAAATGTATAAATACATTTTTCAGGCGCTCCCATTAAAGTTTATAGGAACCACAGTTCGGTGTGAATGAAGCCTAAAGGTGACCTAGGCTGAGAAAAATATGCACATGGCCATTGCTGATCTAATAAAAATGCTATCTGCCTGGCTGTCTCTGGATCCCAAACTTCCAATCACTGCTCATGAAAAAGTATTACAAACCAGGCACGTCAGAACCCCCACTTGCATGCTTGTTCTGGGTCAGTTAGTTCTGAGCAGTGTTCTGACATTGCAGAGGCAGCAGATTTTCTGGTCACATGAAGATGGAACATTAGCTTACAATTGTTAGAATTCAGAAGTGTAAATAAAAGTCAAAATAAGAGATTAAAAAAAAAAAAAAAAGGTTTACTCCAGATCTTCCCTTTATACAGCCGGTGCTTATGTACAAAGCAATAAAATAGGGCTTTTACCTGGAAAATGCAATACCTGCCAACAATAAACACAGTTCAGACAAAATAAACTGTCTTTTAGCTGAACACAAGTAAGATTTCCCATTGGGGAGAGAGGAGCGGACCTTCACACCGAGGACCAGAACATGATGCATCTCATTTTCTTTCCTATGCATGAAGAATCTTGCTTCCTATTCTTCTCCATCACCACCACAGCCAGCTTCCTACTGGTCCAACCTCTGCGGCGTCCCAACAACCGTAAAGACATCAAGACAAATAACTGGATTGACTTTTGATGGCATAATGTGAAATCAAAATTCCCACCTGGGAAAAATATTAGCTTTCAACACTGAGACAAAAAGTGACATGAAGTCTGACATTTTCCGATTATGGTCGAGCAAAATGGCAAAGGAACACGGGCAGGGCCCGGGCACCTGGTAACTTCAAGACTGCATAGCGGCATAATCCAGGGAGGCAAGGCACTGAGAAGCCAACCTGAGAGGTAAATGAAAAGATGAAGGCGCCCATGGTTAGGTCACATCCATAAACGTTCCTGCATGGTTCAGCACCAATCTGGAACGGACTCACTGCAGATCCATAAAGTCTCTTAATATTCCTTGGCAATCCTCCCATGCCAAGAAATCTGGGGGATAATCCAAAGTGGCAAGGAAGTGCAATCTCCCTTATTCTACATGCAGGTCAACTCGACTGAAAATGTAGACTTCAGTTTTGGGTGGTCAATTCCACACCGAATCAAAGCCGCAGCTTTCTTACTGTAGAGCTTATCTGCACCGGAATGGTCAGTTCCACTCAATGACCAAGGTCAAACAATGGCGTTACACCCACTTAACCGCAAGAGCTTTGTGGGGAGGGAGGGGAAAATCACAACTAGTGCTAAGAAGACAGCAGAAGGGTGTGCCAAATCACCAACATCGAACCAGTTTTTGGTGGACTTGGGAGGGAATACAGAGTATATAAAAAAGCATCACAAAAAATACACATTTATAAAAAAACATCATGTATATACATTTGCTTTTTTTTTTTTTTTAACCGAGATATGCCCATTGGGTCTCCTCATCTGGATGTGGTCTCCTCTGTCTTCTTATTGCTACAACAAGGTTTGAACTGCTGGGCATCGATGAGGACTTCACCATATCGTCCATTGTAAATGATTCCACAGCAAACTTTTTGCCTGAAGGGATAGAAAAAGGTAAAACAAAATTAATGGGGAAAAAAAATAAAATAGGATAGGACAAGGCAATGCAGGACCTGCACGGCTACACTATATGAACACGTTTGTGGACACCCGACAAATCACACCTATGATTTTTTTTGTACTTCAATTAACAGTCCATTCAGCCAAATAGCATTTGTGAAGTCAGACACTGATGTAGGATGAGATTATGTGGCTCACAACGAACATTCCAATTCATTAAAAAGGTGTTTAGTAGGGTTCAGCTCAAGGCTCTCTAACATCAAACTGGCCAAACTATGGGGGGTATTCACGTAGGAGCCAAAGGGATCCAGCCGTAGCTTCGGCTGATCCTTCGCTCTCTCTTCGGTCACCGGAGCCCTTCGGTTCAGTCAAACCAAAGGGCTGCTGTACGGGCTATAGGCGGCCGAACGGCTCAGTCAAGCACATATGTGTCGCTCAGCCGAGCCGTAGGCATATGCTTTGGCTCGACTGAGCCGAAGCGGGGCGAACCAAAGGCCGGCCGCTCGTCCCACAAGTGACAGCTGGGTGGAGCCAGCCATGATCTCACAGCTGGCTCCGCCCAGTTGTAATGACAACTCAGCATCCCCAAATGACCTGGGGATGCTGATCTGTCATTAAACAACTGGGTCAATTTGTTATTCATTGGCCAGAATGTGCTAGAAGACTAGCAGGTGCCGGCCAATAGGAAACAGTTGTGCGGAGCTAGATTTTTATTATTTTTTTTTTTCTTTCCCCCTACTATTTTAGATTCTGCTTGGTACCACGAGCAGAACAACGTAGCCAAATGCTGCTCGGTAGCATTCAGCTATCCACTCACAGCCCCTATGTGAATAGGGGAGAACGGCAGCGAGTGAGCTGCTGGAGCGTCGGCTCAGATGATCCAGATGTTGGATCGGCATAGTCAAAGTCCTTCTGCACTTCAGCTCAGACGAACATGCAAAGCATGTTCAGCTGACCGAAGGCAGCCGACGTACGGCTGAAAACCAGCAGTACTGAGCCGGAGTGAATAGCTGAACACCGTTCGGCTCGGTTATGCACTCTGCTGCCTTCGGCAGGTTAGTGAATAACCTTGTATGTCTTTATGGAGCTGGCTTGGTGCACAGGGGTACAGTCATGCTGGAACAGAAAAGGGCCTTCCCTAAACGGTTGTCACAAGGTTTGAAGTGTACAATAGTCTGAAATGTCTCTGTATCCTGTAACCCTTCACTGGACACTCCTGAAACTCAATTTGGAGTGTGTCCACATAATTTTAGCCATATATGTAGGAGTGATGGTCAAGAGTTCACCAACCTTTGGCCATATATGGTGGTTGCACATACATACACAATGAGGGGAATTTATCAAAACTGCAGCAGACAAAATCTGGAGCAGTTGCCCATGTTAACCAATCAGCTTCTCTCTTTATTTGCTCAGTTAAGACTTAAAAATGAAAGAGAAGCCGATAGAATCTGGAGCAGCTGTGCACAGTAACTTGTCTGTCTGTTCCAGTTTTGACAAATCCCCCCTCAATGTCTTTTCACTTCAAGAAGTTGTGTTATTGAAAAAAAACACAACACTTTACTGCAAACAACTGACTCACAGCCAAGAGTCAGGACAACCTTATACAGAGAGATCTAGAATTGCAAATTCTGGTAAGAAAATTTTACAGCTTGCATCAAACTGTTGAAAACCAGGTTTATAAAAAGGAGACCTATTTAAAGACTACGTTACCTTTTCCAATAGGTTGGATCCAAAAATGAGAAGGGTGAACTCCGGCTCGGTGCGGTCCTTATGTCTGTGTCTGTGTCAGTGTCGGAGTGGTTACTGCAGGATGAGGAGTGCGTCGGTGAAGCACTGGAAGCCGTACTGTGCGCACCAGAATCTGTGGGCAAAACGGACATTTGTTATGAAAAGCTACAATCGGTTTATGGCATTCGAGCCGCCAATAAAAACTTGCTGCTAAAGTTCAAAATATTTTATGTCAATGACCGGGTTACATTCATCAAACTGGTAAAGCCAAACTCCAGCCAAAACATTGTCTTTGTTTGAATAGAGTGTGGTTAGACCCTCTGCCCGGCGTACCTTCTGGGGAGATGTGTCCTCTATTAGCCCTTGTGGTCATGGTCACAGGGACAGAAAGTGATGGCGAAAGGTCATCTGTCAAAACAGGGGATTAAAAAAAAACCCCGACAAACCCTTGTTCCATTGATAACCATCCCAGTAAGGAATTTCCTCATTTCTGGCCGTCTGACAGAACGAGAAGGGAAATCTCCCCAAACTAGACAAGAGTCACCTGTATCCTCGCTTGAATCTTTGATTCGTTTGTGTATATTGCCAGACCTGTGCAGTAACCCAGTGACACGATTTCTCTGTGCAGGAGCTTCCTGTAAAAAGACCGGTCACTGCTGCTCGGTCCTTGTGCAGGGTGACTGGTCTTGTCTCCACCCCCTCCTGTACTGTGTGACCTACTCGGGCCCCTCCCACAGCTCTGCAAAGGTGATGTGTAGCCCAGAGATGTCACTGCTACCTTTACAAGGCAATATATGGGTTTGCAAAGGCATTGGATGCACACAAAGTAGATTTATAGCCTTTGTGGCTATTGAGGAATATATTTAAATTACATTTTTTTGTATGGCCAGAGCTCAGCTTCAAGTTTTAGACTAGGGTTAGGAAGAGAGATAGGATTAAATGTTAGAAGCAGGCTAGAGTCCAGGGTCAACTTTGACAGTTAACAGCTGTATTGCAGATTTAGTTGATGACAGGTATTAGAGACAGGTAGCTAAGGGGAGCACGGGTAATAATTGGGAAGTTAGGTTTATTCTGGGTGCTCAGAGCCCAGCAGAAGCTTTAATATACCGAGGATCAGTATGACATCATTCACAAAACACACAACTTACAATGTGTTGAAAGGCTTTTCTTAATTTGGTTCCTTCTAGCAGCCAAACGTCGGATTCCTTTGGGTCTGATGCGCAGTGCTTTTAGGTTTGGTCCCCCACGAGCATCTACGACCTGTCCACAAAACAGACATGGGAAAGTGAGCATAACACAAAAAACTCCGCCATGAATCCTGGATGCCACGATCCAACTCCTGTTCATTTCCACTATAAAACTACAAGACTTCAATCATTTACAAAGACCCCCTACCTGCTACAGAGACTATTCTACCACTTGTGAGAAACTGGAAAATCTGACATTATGTGCCAAAATTAGGGATGCGCCAAACTTTTGGGCCGCCGAAATATATGATGACAAGACGTACACTGTACGTCTCCCGTCACGAAGGGGTTAAGCCAAAATAGATTGTTCCAGTTACTGTCAGGTGTGCACATGTGAACAATAAGCGCCATCAGGACAACTTACATGGTTCCAGTTCTTTTTGGAGCCGGACGGAAGTTTTTTCCACCTCTTCACCAGAAGGACACAGGCATTGCAGATATCTCCTGTGCGTCTTTCATGCAATCTGCAATCAGAACATACAAAGGAATGTTTAGAACTTATGACATGAAAGGCTTATTCAGTAAACCATCAATAATTGGTGATCAGAACTAGGGGCTCTGCTGGAGAAAAGGATTGGGGGGGGGGCACAACTAGGGTTGCCACCTGTCCCGGATTCCCCTAGACAGTCCGAGTTTTGAGTCCTCTATGTGCTGTCTCCGGGGTTCTGGCTAACCCAGACAGAGCACACACAGGACTCAAAACCCGGCGTGTCCAGATGAATCTGGTACAGGAGGCAACCCTATGTACAACTACTGCTTACTGATGGGAGGAGTTGGGAACCCCCTGACTTGCAGAACGGCAGCTTTAGGATTCCCAAACACCAGATTACAGATGAATGGGGGAACTTGCACAGCAGTAAAGCTTAGTGGACTTACGCAAAGCCAGGATAACAAGTCCTATGAGGGGATTCTTTGCCTCTTGAATACATTTTATATATAATTTGGACCATCCGGCATCCATCAGGGTGTTTAGGGGCCACACCGTTCCTGGATTCCTCATCACTACAACTCTAAGCAGGGTATACAGAGGGAGGTACAGAAGATCCTTACCCAAAACAATTGTGGAAGTCGCCTTCGTATCGTTTGCTGTCTGTGAAGCGACTGCTGGAAGATTTGGCTTTGCAGATACAGCAGCCTCTGGGGCTCCTGTAAGTCTTTGGCTTGTAAAATCCAATCATTTTTCATCTGAATGAGCACGCTGAAAAGAAGGAAGACACGTCATTAATAAATGGCAAGAGTGGGGCTACCGAATAAATTATTTCCTTTGTATTGCTGTGTCACCAGTCACTTCCTGTTAGTCTACATGTGTCACACAGCAAAGGAAGGGAAATCCAAGCAGCGACAGTTTTTGGAGCGTGGGGGGGAAGGGCTACAACCAGCGACATTTTAAATGCAGTTAGGATCCTCTTTGCAAAGGCTTCCCCTCACTTCCTGTAAAGGTGGCAGGTGACACAAAAAAACAGGAAGTGAGCAAAATCTCCTCCAAAGGAAAAAATGGCATTTACAACCTGAGCAAGGTACTAATCCAGGGGTGGGCAACTTCAGCCCTCCAGCTGTTGTGAAACTACAAATCCCATGAGGCATTGCAATACTGACAGTTACAGGGATGGCTCCCAGAAGCATGATGGGATTTGTAGTTAAAGGAGGGCTGGAGTTGCCCACTCTGTTCCAAGCAGGGAAGAGCGAAGAGTTAAAGGTCAAGCAATGGGCTGCAGTTAAACCTGCATTCCAGATGAAACAAAATCAATGCACCTCCGTTTTCAATGTTTTTATTTTTTAGGCTTGCACAATAAATACCTCAATCTGCCCTGGTTTCAGTCTCAGTTCTGTAAAACTCAGATTGGGAGAGAGAGAAGCAGCACAAGGAGCATGCCGATATGAGGGGAGAGCAGACAGAAAGATGAGCTCATCAGTCTGCTGCTTCTCTTTTCAGTCACAGGCTGGGGGGATGGACAAGACCTGCAAGTGTTCCTGAGCTGCAGCAGAGACAAATCAGGACTACCCCCCTGCCAGACAGGACTGTGCTGTGTGGCAGAGCCATATCAATCTCAGAACTGGATGGACAGAAATAGAAAATTGTTTGAACTATAAAACCGCTCCCTTATATACATTTCATCTGTTTGATGGGGTTCAGCTTCAAACTCTAAGCAACTGAAACATCAGTTGTGGGCAGACTGACTTACCCATGGTATCATTTTAATACTTTAGATTTTTGGGGAGGAGAAACAAAGTCAGTACATTAGAAGTGGATGAGTTGCGGCTATAGGTGACTAGGTCGGGACATTCTGATTGGCTGAGCTGCTTCAGCCTCTCCCATATACAATCATTCACACGATGCTCCTGGCACTTGTTATAAAACATCACACAATGAAAACATTAAGCCACAAAAGCTGTTCAGACTCTGGATGGCATCATAAGAGCAGATCAAAGCCTCGCTCATCGTACAAAACATCCTCCATGGATCAAAGAGACGCCAACAAGCTGCCTGAGCAGTAAAGAGTACCTGTCTCCTACATAAAATGGACCTCACTGGGCTTGTGTGCTGGGGATTAGGGACAGACTGGGGAAGTGTACACCTCTGCAAGGTTTTTATCTCTCTTTGGACCGGTTATTATTCCAAGTTCACTTCCTGTCCCAGTGACCACACTGGAATGGCCCTCTGCGTCCTGGGGGAATCTATCAAAACTGGAGCAGATATGCACTGCGACCAATCGGCACCTCTGTCTCATTTTCAAATCTTACCTGAGCAAACTGAAGAGAGAAGCTGATTTTTTTTTATCTTGGGCAACTGCTCCAGATTCCGTCTGCTCCAGTTTTAATCAATTCCCCCCACTAAGTATAGAACATGATGACACAGGACCTAGACCGCTACTGCAGAGGGGGAGCCAAGCAGAAGGGACCTGTCCCAGAACATGGCGGCTCAGAGGATCAGGCAAGAATATATATCTTTTTTTCTTTTTAACCAATACACAAAAAAAAAAAAAAGCAGTTAACCTTTCCAGTGCATGGCTAGCCCCAACTGCAAGGGTTAATAGAGTGTGTGCCCCGGAGTTCTGCTTTAACAGTTACTTGGCACCTACATTTAAATGGCTGGGTGGTATATTGTATACCATGAGATTCTAGAGAATAGACAGTTCCTTTAGAGCAGACCTCCATGTACTGAAAGTGCGGCCCTTAGTACAAATCCCTGCTATAGTGTTTGAAGAAAAAAAACAAAAAGTTCAATGTAAATTACCCCCCCCCCCCCCCAAAAAAAACCGCCAAACACAATTTAAAAAATTTGCCTCTTCAGTGTTAAATAAGGAAAACAAAAAAAGGGAAAAGAAAAAAAAAAAGTAATGGTGGGATAGGGATTGAGCTTAGTTTTGGGGGGAGGGGAGGAATCTATCATGTAATACAATTTTGGAGCATCAGCTGGGGTTGACATTCTACCAAAGCTGGCAAGTCAGCAGCTCTGCTCCTCCCACAAATGTGAGCCATGTTCCTGGGTTCCAGTAGCCCCCCCTGCTGCTTCCGCCTTAGGACCACCACATTAGCACTTCACTGATTTGACTCATTGCTCGGAGATGTTCTCCAGGCAAAACTGACAATGACCCGGCTACCAACATTATTATCCAGCACATAGAGAGAAGACCCCCCCCTTCCTTCCCTGTACCCACAGCCTATCCCCAGGCCCAAGCAATGCTGTTTGGGGGCACTGGGCATGCCTGGGGCTTTGAGTGTTTGAGTAGGAGGGATCCTTCTAAAATCTGCATCTCTGATCATTCGCTGTGTTCCAAGATAAGGATTCAGGTCTGACAAACTCTCCTCATTGATCGTTTTCAAAAAACAAACAAAGTAACAAAGTAACATTTGGCAAAGACTGAAAACAAAACATCTTCTCAAAATTCAATCACCACAAATCAAACAAATGTATTTATAAAAAATTAAACACGCATTTCTTCAACATCAGAAGAAAACAAAAAGGGTCTACAGAACTATTTTCTTGAACCTTGAGCTTGTTTTCAATAAAGAGAACCTGTCACAGGCACGTTTTACATCAAAGGCCATTGTTCCTAAGCCCTCATTCACACACAACGCAAGCAAAATTGTATATTGCGTATATACGAGCATCTATGCGTGCACTGTATGCAATCCCAGAATGCATCACTTGTAATGGAATTTTTAATGTGCCGTACGCATGTAATTACGCAGAAATACACTGCCCGGACGCAGTGTATCCGCAGTTCCATTTTTTTGTGCATATATACGCTACGTGTATATATGCTCGGCTGTGTGTATGGAGCCATTTATTTGCATATGGTACAATACACACATATGCGTGGCAGTGTGAATGAGGCCTAAAGATGGTCACACACACACACGAGTAGATTTTTGTACAAATTGTCATGTGAAAAATCTCGTCAAGATATTTGATAATGCCATCAGAGACTTGATGAATGTTGTTCAAAATAGTGTTTGATTTTACCATTCGATGGAATTAATTAGAGCTGCAGCTAACGATTATTTTCAAAATCGATTAGTTAGCCGATTATTAAGTTCGATTAATCGGTTAATCGGATAAACAATCAAATACATTTTTAAAAAATGGCTCCAGTGATGGACTACTAGTTTGTATTGACAGGAGCAAGCTTTGAGCGGTGGAAGTAAAAAAGAAAAAAAAAGTGTGGTGTGCAATATAGTGAAATGGAAAGTGTAAAATTATACAGCAGTTTATCCGATTAATCGAACTTAATAATCGGCTAACTAATCGATTTTGAAAATAATCGTTAGCTGCAGCTCTAAATGAGACCCATTAAAGCAGGACTGGACCAATCCCAGGAGCCGGGCAGCCAATGAGCCCTAAAAATTACAGCTGGTGCCTAACTTCGGAAGTTATGGAGGTCTCTACAAAGTTCTCAATGGCGCTGGTCCTAAAACAAATCCTGATGGCTCCTGGATTGGACTATCTGGCTCCTACATGTCCATATTAAAAAGTGTCCACCCCTGCATTAAAGTGACACTAAATTCAAGAGGTAAATCTTTAAAAAAAAGCATTCAAGTCCCATAACTAGCAAAAATGGGGGGGAATTTATCAAAACTGGCACAGTTGCCCAGGGCAACCAATCAGCTTCTCTCTTCAGTTTACTGGGAGGTAAGATTTGAAAATGAGACAGAAGCTGATTGGTTGCTGTGCACAGCTGCTCCAGATTTTTATAGATTCCCCTCAATTTATCTTATTTGTGTATCATTCAGCTGTAGATCCTCAAATCATCTCTGAATTGGTGCTAACAGTCCTTCCTTCTGGAGAGTGGCTACTTTTGTTCCCCATGGTCACTGTGTGTGTTGTAAAGTAGCCACCGCTCCAAGCTCGCTCCCGTGATGGACTATAATCTCAATACAAATTAATGAATTAAACAGCTTGGATCTACAGCCAAGCGATACACAAATAAGATACATTTTTATTAATAGTTAAAAAGGTACTTGAATGCATTTTTAAGATTCAACTCGTGCGTTTAGTGTCACTTTGGGCCTATCCATGTCCTTGGGAACACACGCATATTTGTGTATGAAAGCAGCTTATTTAATTTAAATGGGCTGACAGCGACAACCACTCCTTTCGCACACAAACTCCAAAACTCTGGCCATGTTTGAGAAAAAGGACATGGAGCTTACAAAAAAAAAAAAAAAGGGGACAGCGCTGATTTGAAGGTCGGTCAGTATTTTGGGGTTCTGCACACTCATTACAAGCTCAGTTTGACTTGTTCAGCTTTGCAACAGGTTTAGCTTGCATAAAATGTCATTTCATGCAAAGCTCACAGAGGACAGGTTCTCTTTAATCTGTGTGATTATCTGCTCATAGACTAGAGAGGCTCTGGGAGAATGGGGAGAGGGGACCCCAAATGTGATGGGGGTGACCACAGGGGGTCAGCTGGTAACGGCTATTTAAAAGAGCTGACAAGCAATGTGATGATGCTGCACTGACTGTCTGCGGCTCCCTCCTGAGCAGTCAGCGTGTCTTTGTTATGCCTACGTGCGGAATCCCCAGCCAGCCACACTGGCCACCCACTGATCTGCCTTCTCACCTCCCCCAACATACCACCCTACACCATCAGATCCCCCCCACCAAATATCACCCGACACCCCACCCCCGATCATCACCGAGAAAATGAGGGTGTCACTGGGATCCCGATCACAA